CTTTTAAGACGAGATATATATCAGCATACGTTTCATTAGCTGTCAGAGCTGTATCATCACATGTCATGTAGCCTCTAGACAACTACGTAAGCTCATGAGAGAATGGGAATGGAGAGGCAAATTAAGTCTTAGTATTATGCAAACAGTGTTGACTACAGACATCCTAAAAGAGCCTTGGGGTTCCTTCAGGGGTTTCCAAACATTGCTTTTAAGAATTTCTACATTTGGGCCAGCAGGTTGGTGTGGTGGTGTCAGTGTTGGACTCCCACCATGGCTGACCACAGTTCGAGCCCTGGGCCCAGGGACTTGAAAATTATGCTAAGTATATGTGCGTGTGTGCCCAAAATCCCAAGAGGAGAATGGAGGAAAAGGGATTTCAGGGGTGGCCATCCCCCTGGAGTGTGAATTTCTCCTTCTCTTTGTCTCTCTCTTTCTCTAGTGAGCAAAAAATAAATAAATAAATAAAATTTAAAAACCTAAGGGGGGAGAAAAAGAATTGTTATGTTAAGTTATAAAGGTAATCTTTATGCTTGAGATGCTAATAATTCATTGGAGAAACAAAATATAAGTAGACAAGTAAGAGCAAGGCAGTATTTCCTAAATGCGAATGAAGCTGACCTTAGGGAGTAGGAATATTTGAGAATTCCTGTGGTAGTATGGGGCATTGGATAGATTTTCTGATGCTCAGAATCTTAGAGTAGCACAGTCACTCAAATCTTTTTAGGTGAAGCCTTTTTATATATTTTATAACCACTAGCACAGTTTATTGATTTGCTTTTACTGACAGTTATTAAACTGTTGTAGAAAAACCACTTTTTTCCAGGGAACCAGCAGTTAGCGTAATGGCTATGTCGCTGGACTCCCACGTAGTTGACCATGGTTCACATCCCAGACCCAGTGGCTTAAAACTCACGCTTGGCGCACGTGCGTGCATGCCCAAGATCCTGAGAGGAGAATGGAGGAGAAGGGATTGCGGTGTGACCATCCCCCCTGGGGGGTGATTTCTTGCTTTCTGTCTCTAATGTCTCTGTCTGTCTGGCGAGCGCATGTGCCCTATAGCAAAAATCTCTCCAAAAAAAAGAAAAGCCACTTTTTTCCTACAGGGTCATGATCGTGGAGTAAACTGGGCTGCCTTCCACCCCACCATGCCTCTTATTGTATCTGGTGCAGACGACCGTCAAGTGAAAATCTGGCGCATGAATGGTGAGTGAACCCGCAATGGTATCACCACTCTTAGAAACAGCACTGCTCAGCAAGGCACAGTAGCCAGACCTTCTGTGCTTTGACCTATTTCCTGTCCTACGTGATTATCTTAAGCTAATCCTAGGCTCATAGAAATTGCCCCTTTCCCTCTTTCCTATGATGGTATCCTGATTTTGAAGAATATGAACACAGGCTGAGAATAGGAATTCATCCAGTCATTTGACAAATGTTGTTGAGTACCTGCTTTGTACTAAACTTTGTTTAGGTCTCTGGAGATACAGTGATAACTAAAACAGGTAAAGCTCCTCTCTTACAAACTTACACTTATTCTAAACTAACAACTAGAGAGAAATGCTATGTGGATAACTAATATAGGATAAAAGGATAAAGAATGAGGGAGAAGAGGTATTATAAAATGATAGGAGGATCAGAATAAAAGAACCAGAAAATATATAAAGATTACGAGTCTTAAATGAAGAAAATTATCTTAGTCCAAAGAACTTGCAGATTTAGCATTTTATAGTAGTACCTAGCACTTGGTTAAAAGGATATCATATTTCCAAATTCCAAAGTTGAAGTAACAGAGAATTGTGACAAACTCAATTGTTTTGTCCTTCAGAATCAAAGGCGTGGGAGGTCGACACCTGCCGTGGCCATTACAACAATGTATCCTGTGCTGTCTTTCACCCTCGTCAAGAGCTGATCCTCAGCAACTCTGAGGACAAGAGTATCCGAGTCTGGGATATGTCTAAGCGGTAAGGGAGTTACCAAACCCGGGGGGAAAGCTCCTTTCTCTCCCTCCCTCCCTCCCTCTCTCTCTCATTCTCTCTGTTTCTCTGTCTTTCTGTCTTTTTAATGTTTTTGCCATAGGGTACATGTACTCACCAAAGAGAGACAGAGAGATGGAGAGAGGGAAAGTGATAAATCACCCCTTGGGGAGACAGGCACGCATGCACATGCTCCCGGTGTGGCTTTCAAGCCTCTGGGTCCAGGGCTTGAACCATGGTTTGCCATGTGGGAGTCTGGTACCTTAACTGCCATGCCACCTGCTGGCCTCTCTCTCTCTGTAAAAACTAGATTGGAGGGAGGGGTCAGCAGGTGGCATGGTGGTTAAGGGTGCTGGATTCCCACATGATCAACAGCAGTTTGAGTCCCAGACCTGGGAGCTTGCTTTCTCGCTTTCCCTTTCTCTCTATCTCTGTCTGGTCAAATTAAAATGATAATAATAACAAATGGAATTAAATAAATAAATAATTCTTTAAGAACTAGATTAGCGGGGTCGGTAGGTGGCATGGTGATTAAGGACACTGGACTCCCACATGGTTGACTGCGGTTTAAGTCTTGGACCTGGTGGCTTGAAAAACACGCAAACGTGTTTGCATTTGCCCCAAATTACAGGATGGAGAATGCAGGAGAAGGGATTGCAGCATGACCACTCCCCATTGTTGGGTGCTTCTCCCTCTCCCTCTTTCTCTGCCACTCTGGTGAATGCACGTGCCCTCTAACAAACTGAAAACAAAGTAAATAAAAACTAGCTTAGAATACTTTTTAAAATCTCATCATCTTCAACATGTAGAAAAAACAAATCATGTATATAAACTTGAGACTTTGAGGTTAGCCAACACTTACTAATTTTCTATTAAATATAGATCATGTGAAAAAAATACATGTATAGATCATTTGAATTCTTTTTCTTCTCTAAATTTAAACTTATTCTTTTCCCTCCCTTTCTCCCTAACTCTAGAAAAGTAAGAAATATGGAATGAAAGCAGTACAGTAGAAAAATTAAAATGAATAGGGGCAAACTGAAATATCAAAATTATAGGGTCAGGTCGAAGTCTCTTCTTTCTGTTCCTTGCTAGAATTTATTATGATTATTTATAATGTGTAGTTTGTTGTCCCTGATTTATTTTTTAATCAGCCTGCTGGCTTACCTAATTCACCATTCCTGTATGCGATGGTCTTTAGACTCCAAGGACATTACTGTTTTTCTCTGTGTGCCTTTTGCCTTCCCAGGACTGGGGTTCAGACCTTCCGCAGGGACCATGATCGTTTCTGGGTCTTAGCTGCCCACCCCAACCTTAATCTTTTTGCAGCAGGTAAGGGCTGTTTTTTTTTTTCTCTCTTTTTTTCCTCATTTTATTTCAAAGTTTATGACGTGAAAGGATTCTTCATGATCTGTGTCTAGTATGTGCCTAGTGGGTTGATAAAGAGAAGTAGAATTCTCAGGGCCGCTTAGTTGAAGCATTTTTCCTTTTTTCTCTCTTATCTCCATGAAGTATTATTCTTTTAAGGCTCTTTCTCTGCCAAGAGGCACTGAGCAGTCAAGGCTGTTCTCTGATTAGCTCCTAGGAGTTTGTAAGAGGCCAGTGCTAGACACTGGGGACATCAGACCAAGCAGTCAGAACCCAGCTGTATTCATTTATCCAGCAAATACGCATCGAGTGCCAGGCCCTACTCCTGGTACCATGTCATAGCTGCATAAAACAAAGTCCCTGCCTTTGTGGAGCCGTTACTTACACTGAGGGGAGATTGACTGTAAACAATAAATATAAAGTGATGTGGTGACAAATACCTTGAAGAAAAACAAAATGTAAGTAAGAGGGAAATGACACATGCAGGGATGACTACTGCATTTTTTGAGCATTCAGAAAAGTGAAAAGCAGTGAGCCAGTGGGAACGGCAGGTGCAGAGACCATGATGTGAGGGTGCCTTGTGTATCGGAGGAGCAGCAGAGAGACCAGGTGGGGCACAGTAGGACTACATAGTAGGAAGAGGGCCGTAGAGTGCTTTGTAGACCATGGTTAGAACTGAAGATTTTATTCTGAATGGACAGAAAGCCATTGGGAGGGTTCTGGCAGGGATGTGATGTGGTCTGTTCACGTGTGGAGAGCAGACAGGGGAGGGCAGGAGTGGAAAGCTTCCCAGAAGGAAGGGTGAGGCC